ATTAATTACAAATGTTTTCTGTCTTTGGATGTGTATATTAAAATGGTTTTTAGCATTTAACAAAATTCATATGGGCTAAGCACCACATGACAAGAAAACTTTCCAATTGAAAAAATAATGTAATTAAAAATTTTAAATAAGAATCTTTATTTTACTCTCTTCTAGTTGAAATAGGATCATGCCTATTAAAACAATTATCTTCCATTTTATTACAAGTGCATCTTAAAAAATTAAAGGCAATTGCCTAAATTCTCATACAACTCTCACTTTTCTTTAAATGAGAAATATTTGAAAACTCTTAAATTATCATAGGCCATGGTGAACAATTGTGTATTCAGTAGTACAAGTGTTGTTGTATTATCATGTATTTATTTAGGGTAAATTAAGTCAATTAGCAACAAGGATCGTAAAAAGGGAGAAATACTTCCACAGAAGATATGTAAGTATGATATGATATAACCACTGATAAATATGAATAAGTAGAGTTACATTATTTTCAAAACTCTAATATACCATGGAACTTTTTAAACTGGGAAAGCTACTCTTGTGTAATTTAATCTTTAAATAAAGTTAATGTACTGAATTTCTGGATCCAAGTGCTACTAGCAATTTGTGATGAAATGCACTTATCCGTTCTTTCTGAACTGGCCAGTTCAAGATGCAGCGAGATTTAAACATTCCTCTTCGTAAACAAAGTGCATGGTTTAATTTATAATCTGGGATCTCCTCAAGAAAGATCAATATAATAGAATTGAGATTTTGTTCAATAGCTTGCTGAACTGCATGCTGCACTTTGAATCTAAGCGAAAAAAGAAAATACTGAATTAAGTTATATGATTAATATACAGTTTCTAACAGCCAAAAGTTTAAAATGTAAAATTCTTTATATAATTTATTTTAACTCGTCACTTAATTTTTAAATTTTATTTTTACTGCTTTTTAATTTTTAGTACTAATAACCTGGTGGCATAATGCCTAAAACATTTGACTGCTAACCAGAAAGCTGGTGGTTCAAACCCATCAGCCCCTCCTCAGAAAGGAGGTTGGGCAATATACTTCTGTAGTGATACCACCTGGGAAACCCAAGGAGGGGTTGCTATGAGTCGGATCCCACTCAACAGGAGTGCATTGCATTGCATTATTAGTATGACACTAATAGTAGTAATATTTGAAAGTTTAATTGAAAAACAAGCATGCGTTTAATAGTTCACTATGTTCACCCACCTTTTGCATAATGGATCTTTTAATAGATGCTGTGTTATAACAAAAATGATTTTTCTGCTTGTTTTGATGCTATTGACAATTGCTTCAAGTTCAAGGGCACCTGCCTCAAAATCCCTTTCTTCTAGACAAAATTTGAGAGCCTGGTCTTTTTCTTCCATTGGAGAGAAGTATTGCCAAACCCAATCCTTATCTTTTTGGGCATGAATTACATATGCTGCATATTCATACTTCTCTGCCTGTCTGTCTATCTCTTTGAAGCCAAGAATTCGGTGTACTGAAACGTTCCAGTAAAAAGATATCCTCCATCCCTCAAAATGGATGAGCAGTACAATGAAGATGAAAATCAATAGGAAACTTGTATTTATCATGAACAGGAGCTCAAAAGGGGCACTGTCTTTGCAGGGTGATATATCAAAAAGTGTCACTGGGAAACCATGATATTGAGGTGGAGTGTTGCAGAGATAATGATCTGGTAGCCCAGAGATGTTGGTGTGGGTCCTATTAATCCAGTTAACAAACCAGGCAATACTTTCACATGTACAATCAAATGGATTAAAGCCCATGTCTAAATTAGTCAGGTTCTTGAAAGGTGCTCCAAAAACATCCTTCTCAACTGATGTTATAAGATTTTTCTGAAGATTCAATGACCTCAGAGAGATCTGATTATCAAAGACAGATGGTGAAAGTATGTTTAAATTATTCAATCCTAAATCAATGCTCTTTAATTTATGTAAGTCCTTGAAGACATCCTCTGGGATCTCATCAAAGCCATTAGATTCTAAGTTAATTATGTGGAGTTGAGAAAGACCCTTTAAGAAATAAACAGGACCACCAGGGTTTGCATGTTTCCAGAGCCTTGCCAAGTTGTTGTGCTGCAAATCCAGAATTTCTAGTTTGTCAAGTCCCTCCAACATTTCATCGTTTATGTTGGCTATATTGTTGTTACTGAGATCCAAAATGGTCAAGTTACGAAGAGGGCGAAAAGGTGAAGGGGAGATATCCACATTTTTACAGGCCACCCTTCGAAGCATCAGTTGTTGAAGGCTTGGAACTAAGGCAAAGGAATTGCTAGTCAGTTGTAGGTATTTGTTAAAGGAAAGGTAGATTTCAACAATATTTGTTAGACCTCTCCATTCCTGGCCAGTGAGTTCTTGCCCAATTTCGTTAATGCCAAGGTCAAGTACTTCTAGGTGGCCCAACCAAGAAAAAGCGCCACTGTCTATTCTTGAGATTTTATTTCTGGTGAGATTGAGTAAGAGCAAAGGAGAATGAGCCAGTGATGTAAATGTTTCATTTGTTAAAGTCCGCAAACTTGTAAAGGAGTTGGACAGCCTTAAGTATTTCAGACTTATCAGTCCTGTGAACATATTGCTTTTTATTCCTGGAAAATTGTTATCTTCCATGTTAAGGTACTCCAAAGATTTTAGCCACTGAAAGGAAAAATCATCAATTTTGGAAAGTGAAGCAAAGGAAGTACTTTGTTTAGTAAAGGATCGTTTCAAATTCAGGTGTCTCACATTGAACAGCCCATAAAAGGAGCGAGAATACAAATGCTCTATATTATTATACTCCAGGTTGAAATATTTCAAGTTTGGAAGCCAAGCAAAGGAATCATTAGCAATCATATTTAAACTGTTATGGGAAAGATCAAGCATGGTGAGATTTGTCTGCTTCAGTCCAGAAAAAGTCATATTGCTTGTTCTGAAGAGCTGGACGTTACTTAGAGATAGATTCTGAATGCTTGTGTTTGATAATTCCAAACAAATCTTCTCTGTAAGACTGGAGCCAAGTCGGATGTTGTTCAGAAAGAGGCCAAATAATTTTCCAATTGTGTGAAAACACCCTGGAGAGACCTAAAGGTGAAAGGGGGAAAAAAAACAAAAAAGGTTAATAACTAAAACACAAAAGCCTCTGTATAAACCTTGCAACACAAATATAAATCTTAACCACATTACCTGGGTGTACCACATTTCTTCCCATTCCTCTGTTGCCCAGCTCTTTCCTGACTGTATCTGTCTGTACCATCTCCCCCAAGTCTTTACCTTCCCTAGCAACAGGCTAATTTTTACTCAGCATATTCCTCTCAGCCTAGGTGTCTCTTCTTCAGGGGCTTTTCCCTGAGCTACCAGTGTTAAGTTAAGTCTCCTGGTGTTTTTTATTTAATCACATTGCGTAGATGTATAAATATCAACTATTTGTGAAACTAGCATTGGGGCAAATACTGATTCTGTTGCTGTTGGTCACTACTGTTCTCAGTGAATATTGTGGAAGGATTGAATGAGTGGGATTTATTATAAAACAGTGGCACACACTTTTCCTTCTGTAATCCAGAGGTTCCAGATGTGTTTTCATTCTTTCACGAGGTTTTCTCATTACTTTATTTTATTACAGAGTTTACAACACCCTTCCACTCTGCCACACTCTCTTACCAGAAGCCTTGTTCTGGAGTAAGAAAATAGAAGGCAGGAGAAAGAATCCAGAGAGGAGAGGGAGGAGTAGCCAATGTCTGGCAGTAAAACCCATCAGGGGACCAATAAAGGCTTCATTTTCTAGTGTGTCAGATATTAAGGCTGATGGAGGAAAAGAGAAATATAGAAAAATGTATTTTATTGTAAATACAATGAATTAAAATGTAAACCAGTAAATTATTAAATTAATTATGATACATCTACATTGTTGTTGTTGTTGTTTGCCGTCGAGTCGGCCCTGACTCATATCGACCCCTCCTTGGGTTTCCGAGGCAGTATCACTATGGAAGTAGGATTGCCCAACCTTCCTTCTGAGGAGTGGCTGGTGGGTTTGAACCGCCAGCCTTCTGGTGAGCAGTCAAGTGCCTTAGGCACTATGCTACTAGAGCTCCTTATACAGCTGCTACAATTAAATTGTTGAAGTAATCTTAATGACACAGGAGACCCTCATGATAGGTTATCAGTTTTGAAAAGCAAGATACATCATCCTCCTCAGAGAGGCTCTAGTCTCACACTGCCAGAATCCCACTTCTGTTACCAGCTGGTCACCTGTAAGACCCTGGAAAAATCATCTAATCCTTCTTAATCTCAATTTACTTTTGTGCAAAATGACATAAAGAATAAGTAGGTTAAAACTGGGAGCTCTGGTAGCATAGCATTTGACTGCTAATCAGAAGGCTGGCAGTTCAAACTCACTAGCCACTCCTCAGAAGGAAGGTTGGGCAATCTACTTCCGCAGTGATACCACCTCGGAAACCCAAGGAGGGGTCACTATGAGTCGGATCTGACTCAACGTCAGTGAGTTTGGATTGTTATTTTTGGAGGTTAAAATTATTATATAGATAAAATATTTAAAACAACTTGGCACAGTACCCTACACTCAGTTCAGTACTCTATGAATGTCAGCTGTTGTCGTTGTTATTATTATTTGGAAAAACACTTGAGGGAAACATATGCACTTAGTAATAGCAGTTGTCTCTGCACTATGGGCTTTTGGCTGATCTTTATTTGATTCTTCATTATATGCATATTTATAAGATTTCTATAATAACTGTTCTAAATAGAAGAAAAATGCTGTTTAAGAAATAAAACGAGTAGTATCTATAATGTAGTTAATTATTATCTCAGGATGATTTTGTACATAGCCTAGTTTTACATTTGAAAAAATTGTTGTTGTTGTTGTTATATGCCAACGAGTCAGCCCCGACTCATAGAGACCCCTCTTTGGGTTTCTGAGGCGGTATCACTACAGAGGTAGGATTGCCCAACCTTCCTTCCAAAGAGTGGTGGGTTTGAACCACCAGCCTTCTGGTTAAAACATCTGATTTAGTTAACAGTTACCAATGTCCTTATAGCCTACAAAAGAATACAATGTGTGCAAACAGACTATGTGTATATATACACTTTAAAAAAAAAAAAAAAAAAAGACCTCTCTGCCAGCAAGTTGGATTAGACTCATAACAACCCCTCCTTGGGTTTCCTAGGCAGTATCACTACGGAAGGAGATTGCCCAACCTTCCTTCCAAGGAGTGGCTGGCATGTGTAAATGAAAGCCGTTAAGAAATCAAAGATCAAGCATTCAAGAAACAAAGAGAATTCAGCATCCTCCATTAATGGAAAGATTTTATAAGAACATAATTCTTGTTAGCATTTTTTGAGAGCTTATTATATGCCAGACACTGTGCTAAATTCTTTACCTCATAGTCTTAATGATGTAGCATTATTATTATACCACTTTTAAAACTGGAGACATAGGAGGGCACAGAGGACTTGAATAACTTGCCTGATTTTTCATAAGAGATCAAACCAGAATACAGATCCCGCTAGCCTGACTCTAAAGTCTGTGCTCTTAACTATTATGCAATTCTGTTTCTCTCAATGGTTTTGTGAGCTATTTTACATATAAGAGTTTTGGCAGAAATCCTAAGGCATTTTGACTGCTAACCAGAAGGCTGGCAGTTCAAATCCACCAGCCACTCTTTGGAAGAAAGATAGGCAATCTATTTCTGTAGAGATAATGCCTAGGAAACCCAAGGAGGGGTCACTAAGAGTCGAATCAGTGAAAAAACTCAGCCTGAGAGATTAATTCCCCAAAGTCAAAGAACTATTATGTGATTGTTGTTGTTGTTGTTAGGTGCTGTTGAGTTGTTTCCAACTCATAGTGACCACATGCACAGCAGAACGAAACACTGCCCGATCCTGCACCAGCTCCATGATCCCTGCTATACTTGAGCCCATCATTGCAACCACCATGTCAATCCATCTC